TAACCTGAGAAATTGCTATTATTTACTCCATTCCCCTAACGAGAATTAATATTTCTCACCCTTGGTAAATAATGATAATAAAAAAACCTAGGTAAATAATGAGAACAATTCTATAATTTTAAAGATATTCACAGAAACTTTTGTTAACTCAATTATCAACTAGAAGTAGGAAATTGAACATTGGAAATACGAATTATCTAAAAGAACAATTCGTTCAGACCACTCTCAACACCCTACACAGTAGGTTACTGGACTGACACCTATCAGAAAACAACTACTCCCCTGCTAATACCACGAAGGGCGTTAGATTATATCCGTCAGTGCAGGATTCTTCACAGAAGTTATTCCTGCATATTCTGCCGATACAACTGCGATACAACTGTCTCAATAGATTTTCAATTATTGGAACACACTTGCAGACCGGTTTCGGGCTGTTTGGCCACTCGTCAGTGCAAGGTAGTGTATATCATCAACATAAAGTCGATGATTTCCGATAATTGAAAATCGAATTCCGTCAGAGTATCATTCCTCGAACTAAGCTGAAGACTACAACAAACAACAGGTTTGTCGTCGCTCCATCTGCCTGTGAACGAGGTAACCAACTGCATGTATGCCCACTGACTATACGTGATTGGAAATACGCTTGAAAATTATTTGAAATTATAATTAATTGTACAATTGTGACAAATCATGTGTATTCCACCATTTCCTGTATTGCTGGAACTAACATTTGGACCAGGTAAATTCACTTCTGTATTACAAACAATCCTCGTATTTTGAACGCATTCATTACCTTTTTCCACTAAATTATCTTCAACATGGACGTTTTCTAAGACAGCATCTTGACTTGTATGGCGTGTTTTCAATCGGGACTGCAGGTTGACCTCGAATGATACTCTGAATAAGGGGTCGGCAAGTAGTTTAAGGATACAACTGATGATAATTAAGTTATTCATTATTTTGGTTTCAAATCAAATTCTGAATTATAAAACACAAGACCTAAAATTAATGTGAGAAACTACACCGACGGTCTTAAGCCAGTTTTTTATAGTTTGGTTCTAGAGAGGAACAGTAAATTCGAAGTGATGAAAAGAGAAATGAAAATTTCTATGTTTTTTACCATTTTTACTATTTTTATTTCTCTTTTCATCATGATCTCCTACCACGTAGTAACGGCTACATCCATCAATTTATTGAAAACTCAGGTTATTACCTAAATTTTATGTATATTAATACGATAATGCGAGAAAAGGTTATTTATTATTAAACTCTTCTATTGATTATTTTGTGTATGTACATATATTATAGCTACCATAAGCCTAATAATGTACAAACAAAACTAGTATCATAATTTTTCAGCTAGGTTTTACATAATAAAAGAATATTACGTGCTTGCTGATTAGATTTTCATAATACTGTCAACAGTATATGTCATCGCACACTAAACACTGAGCGTCTGTTCGACGACGGAGGAGAAGCCTGCCTCCCGCTGACGTATGCGTGAGAGAAAAGGAATCCAGACAGACTGGCGCTGTAACGCGTTAGCTACCGAACGGGTTTCCCCTTCTATGAGGATTTAACACTTCAAAAACCATTTGTATCATCAATCAGTNAACATTTAATTGATGGCACTGGATAGATTATTATTTGCGTCTCCGAACCGAATATAATAATGTCAAGTCAGACAATTCCGCTTTTTGCTTCGATAAGTTTGTTGTGAGTTAAAATATACACCATTATGTCTTTGCACAATCATGTCGCTGGGATTGCAAAGGCTGCCCCTCAAAAGCTTGGAACACTGTTCTGAACCAAAATACTGTACACATCTCAGATCAGACCTCCTTTGGAGTTTTGTTCTCATGTATGGAGATCTGCCCCCAAACATATCCTGAAGTCGCTGGATTCCATCCAGAAAAAACTATCCGCCTGATTGGAGACGCCAACATGCAACCTTGATAGCCTGGAACATCGATGAAAGGTTGGAGACTTGGCACATTTGATTCCACCAAGAGTGGTACATATCAGAAATACGCGACGGACCGTGGCTGCTCATCGTTTTGAGGTTCAAATCAGTACACTTCGAACTTCACTGTTTAATTTGTTCTTCCATATATTTTGAACCTTACCTATAGCACAATAAAAGACAATTGAAGTCTTAACTCTCCAACAAACATTGTCAATCACTTTCAAACATACTGTTGTAAATTATCCCCTGAAAAAAAATATTAGCGGCCGCCACTGTTCTTCGTCAATCAACTGTGGCTTGGCAAGGTCGCCCCCAACTTGACTTGCGCTTTTCGATTGTTCTAGATATCGCGTCGCTTCGAGAGACTTCCCTGTCGGCTTCCAGAGACTTCCATTGCGATATGTAAACACTACCAACAGGCAGATGGGGAAGTCTAGTTGAAAGTGCGGCACGAAGTGAGCAAATGAGGTGATAGACATTCGAGTGTTAGTCTGAAGTGCGATTGAAGCTTTTGTGTCAGATTGGCAGTGTAGTGGTGAAATAGAGTTGAGTTTAATCGTACAGTGTAGTTGATTACTGACAAACCCACGGGTAAAACGTGACGATACGTTCAGTATTCTAGTTAACTATGAATCCGCTTTTTTTTAACAATCCGA